GTGAATGGGGAACCAGGGGTGGGTGGTGGCAGGGGGCGGGGCCGGCTGCCTGCAACCGGGGAAGATGGCCTTGATCACAGGTCAGGCCTAGGGACCATACCCGTGTACAAATTTCATGTGCTGGGTCTCTAGTCAGAATATATACAAATATAAATCAAGTATGGCATAAAAATAGATTGTTAGTCAAAAGTTATTTATCTATTTTAAAAATAGGTGAATCTGAACATTTTGTATTTCTTATAAACTGGAGTATCTTTTTTTTAAAAATAGTTACCAATTTGCTAAATAAGTTTTTCTCTCATACCAATCAATCAAACCAATATATATATTCTCAATGGGATACAAGTTTCAGTTTCACTGTGTAATCAGTTTGTGAGCCTTCACTTTACTTTTTTTTTTTTTTAAAAGAACAGTTTGCCCTAGCTGGTTTGGCTCAGTGGATAGAGCGTCGGCCTGCAGATTGAAGGGTCCCAGGTTTGATTCCAGTCAAGGGCACATGCCCAGGTTGTGGGCTCAATCCCCAGGAGGGGGTGTGCAGGAGGCAGCTGATCAATGATTCTCTCTCATCATTGGTGTTTCTCTCTCCCCCTCTCCCTTCCTCTCTGAAAACAATAAAAAAAATAATGAAAATAAATAAAAAATAAAAAGAACAGTTTATTGATTTTTAAAGAAAGGAGAAGAGAACAACATCAGTGAGAGTTTTAACATTGATTGGCTGCCTCCTGCATGTACCCCCCATCAGGGATCACACCCAGAACCCAGGCATGTGCCCTCACTGGGAATCGAACCAGCAACCTCTCCATGCACTGGATGATGCCCAACCAACCGAGCCACACTGGCCAGGGTGACAACTTACCTTTTAAGGGTTAAATGTCTAATTTTTTTTTGGCATCCCAGAGCTTAATATTTTTCTACTGCTGAAAACTTAATCCTGGTGATGAAATACATGCTTTATTATACTATACTTATTTTATATCACAAAACACATATTAAGAATTTAAAAAATCTGAGTTGGTCTTAATTTTAAATAAGGAGTGTAGACATTAGAAAATAATTCAAATATTAAAAAAAGTTCTACCAAAGTATGTATAAAAAGAATAATTACAAAAATATTCCATTAAAAATACTTTTAAAAAGTAGAAAATTATATTTGATGAACAAGAATAGATCCAGAGACA